GTGCTCATCATACTGTAGAGGACTGCCAGGCCATGCGTGAGTCAAGTACACCCCAGGAGCAGGTGAACTTCATCAACAATGGCCGGCGCAACGACCCATACAGTAACACCTACAATGAGGGATGACGCCAGCATCCAAATTTCTCTTGGAGTGGCAACAGCAATATATCAACCCAGACAAGGGCAGGCTTTTCAACAGCCCCCACAGCAGCAGTACCGGCAGCCTGGTGCATCTCCATCAGTGCCAGCACCAGGCGATCCCGTGTCAGAACTGAGGGATCTAGTGACTACCTTGGCCAACAATAGTATCCAAAAGTTCAATAAATTGGAGCAATTCATGGAAGTGGTTGCAGGCAAATTCATGGAGATTGAAGCTGGCCAGAGAAACCAGTAGGCACTCCTGCAGGATATGGACACCAAGATCGGGCACCTGGAAGATGCCCTTGCTTTCAGACCGGCTGGCACACTTCCTGGACAAACCCTACCGAATCCCAGAAATCATAAGGAGGGGTTGCACGCCATTATGCAGAGAAGTGGGACTGTGACTGCGGATGCACCGTAGAAGAGTGCCAAGAAGGTGACCTAGATCACCCCAGAGCAGGAAGAAGACCTAGTGATGGAAATGGAGCCAAGGATCAAGCTCCAAAGCCACAACCAGTAGTGGCCGAATATAAGCCTAAGCTCCCTTTTCCCACCAGGATTTACAAAGACATGCTAGAGGCAGAGTTCGGCAACTTCTCGTCCATGCTTAGGAAGCTGCATGTTCAAGTGCCCTTCATGGAGGCCCTATCTCAAATGCCTAAGTATGCGAAGTTCCTAAAGGAGCTTTTCTCGAAGAAGCGGAGGCTGAGTGAGCTAGCCACTGTGGAGCTCAGTGAGGAGTGCTCGGCCATTCTGCAGAACAAGCTTCCGCAGAAGCAGAAGGACCTAGGTAGTTTTACTATCCCGTGCTCTATAGGTAAATTGCATGTAGAGAGGTCCTTGGAGGATCTAGGTGCTAGTATTAATGTTATACCATATAAATTGTTCAAGAAACTAGGCCTAGGTGAACCCAGTGCAACTAGGATGAGTATTCAACTAGCTGACCGATCTATAGTTCATCCTAGGGGCATAGTGGAAGACCTTCTGGTTAAGGTTGGGAGATTTTTTTATCCTGTAGATTTTGTTGTCTTGGACATCAATGAAGACACAGAAGTGCCCCTTATACTAGGAAGGCCTTTCCTGGCCACCGCCAAGGCTCTCATTGATGTGCATGAAGGGACCTTAGTCTTGAGGGATGGCTAGGAGCAAATAACATTTTCCATTGCTAATACTCTCCCTGCTTCATCGCCTTTGTATGATGTTTCTCACCAGGAGCACGAGTCTGTAGTGTATCCTTCCGTGCTTCCCATTTTGCAAGATCCCTCTCACATATCTTCGTCGCCGCTCCCGTCCACTCCGTTACCAAAAGACAAGATCAAGGAGGAGTGGCGGCCGAAACTGCAGGTAGCCAAGCCTGCTCAAAAGAAAGCCGGAGACCACTATGAGCTGGTCCAACCTCCTGAGCCTCGACTGCCTTGGTCATCCGAGTATTAACTCGCTTGCATCCTGCCGGATGGCCAGGTCGAGTTGAGGAGTGCTGGTGGTCATACTCGTCGAGTGCATGGCCACCACCTGAAGTTGTACCTCAAGAGCGATGTGGATCCGCTCTTGAAGGCACATGTTCCTACACCTATCTGAGCATCCACCCTACTGGCGTCCAGCTAAACGACGGCAAAGAAGCGCTTGTGGGGAGGCAACCCCACCAAAGTTTGTTTTTCTTTCGTTTGTTTTTCGGTTTGTCCACTTGGAACTATGTTTTTTATCACCCAGTCTGTTTTGATGACTCTAGCCCTGCTGACTGGTCCCATTTCCAGTCCCCCTACAGTTCGTATTCCCGGTAACATTGTTTCCCCTTGTATTTCCCTCTGCTCCATTGAGGGCAATGTCGTGCTTAAGTGTGTGTGTGTGGGGGGGGGGGGGTGTTTATCTGTTGTGGACTGCTAGATGAGTTTGTGTGCTTGGAGCCTAGTCCGCTGCCCAAATCTCGAGATTTGAGGGCTCCAAGTACTGATGTTTGCATGATCATATTGGCACTGTGGATTTGATTGGTGAATCGAATGGCTTTCGAATTGATGCATGAAAACTTGATTCTAACTAGGAAAACCTATGATGATGACTGAGACGTGCAGTAGAATTGTGTAGGAGTTCATTTTTTCAATTGTTTGCTTACCAACTGTGACTTGGATTGATCACTTGCTCTTGACAGTCGTTTATGCATCTAATTCAAGGAATCAGAATGAGAGATGGAGCATATACGTAGCCATGTGAGATTTGAGCCTGCTCGTTTCTTTCTTGTGCGATAGATCCCTCTTCCATGATGTGTAGCATTCACTTTGTCACTAGCTAAGATGATGGGGCATAGGATTAGCCCATGACCAAATTGACTGTCCTGGTGTGTCATACCCCCTAGTCAGCCCCTTTGAGCCGTGTACTTTTTTTTTCTTTCGGTCTACAATGGGAAATCACCCCTTTGCATCTCTTAGAAGGTTCCACAGAGTGGTTTTTGCATGTTCTCTGCTGTTTCTGCTAAATTTAATGTGAGGGTTGGAGGTAGTGCTTAAAAATTGGGCACGTGTTTGAAAAATGTGCAGAGGTGGTGGTTCTCTCAAGAAATGAAAAAAAAATGAAGAGAAAAAAATGAATGAAAGCAAAAGAGAGCCACTACCCAAAATTATGAACCATGCTCATTAAGTAGTGTTTCTTAGCATTCTGGCTTGGAAATACTAACATTTATGTGACCTCCTTCGCTCTTGTGCTCTAGAGAATTTGAGTAATGCAGAATGGCAGAAAGAAAGTACTGGTTTGATTGGTTGTGAATGTGTTGGGTTTGGAACTGTGGAACCTTGTGCTATGAATACTTCCACCACCTAAAAGGCTTTTTCCCCATGTCCAAAACCCTAGCCAGTCACTTGAACCTTTGTCTAAGACCTCCGGATTAGTTAGTGGTGACATCCCTTGTGTGAACTCTAAAGGTTAGAGGCTGCCATCATGGTGAAGAGACGTTAGGATTTGAGAGAATAAGCATGTACATTTTTTTCATCAAAGTGTCCTGACTCCACTGGTCGAGAGTGAGCGATTCATTTCCTTTTTCTTCATGCTCTTTACCCCGGTGAGGACCTAGATGGCTCGGTCTTGATTATGATGTCTTGAGTTTGATGCATGCGATGACTGTCTTGGTCAAGTGGTTGAGTCAAGTCTATGTTGGTTGGTGAACATAAAGGCTTCCTCTTCCTTTACCCGATTTTGCTGCACTCGAATGTCCTCTGTGGTGGTTGTCTAGGTTGCTGTTGAGTTGTCCATATCGCAATGATCAAAAGACAGTATGATTCACGTGTTCTGTGCCTTTATGATTTGTCCCCAAAGTTGGTATGATTGAAATATGTTGAGCTTACCTTGTATCTGACTTGGTTTGCTTGGGGACAAGCAAACGGTTAAGTGTGGGGGAATTTGATGACTTGATATATACACATATTTTTGTCCACCATTCTTATACCGTTTGAGTCTTATTTCCCGTGTTTTAGGCCGATTTCACGCTAGGTTGTTCTTGTTTGTTATATTTCAGGTCTTAGTATGTGAATGAAGGTTTGGGAACGAGTTCGAGGTCGATTGGACGAAGATTGGACGTTTGGCGAGAAGCTGAGGAACCCACACAGGAATGCCTAAAATTCAACACGGCCGTGTGACTTAGCTGTGTGGCACCACTTTGCACGGGCAAATCGCACTGGCCGTGTATTGGACCCCTTGTGGCCGTGTGGAAAGTCCAGGGAGGTCACACGGCCAGACTGGAAATCCACAAGGTTGTGTGCCTCTGGCCGTGCAGCATGCCTAAAGACCACTTAAGTGAAACGCGGCGTTTCCATTCTCAAACGGGAAAACTGGGAATCCACATGGCCGTGTGTCCTGGCCGTGTGGTTGGGAAATTCTGGGTTTTAACCCAATTTCGAGCCAAAGGAGAGAAAATTGAGTTTTTGAGCAAAAAAACAGAGCCCTAGAGAGAAAAAGTGCGAAGAACACATCCTAGAGGTGACTTTGGAGCTGGGTTTCATCAATCGAGCTTGGAGATCATCATAGGAGTGAAGATCATTATCCCATAGCAGATTTTCCTCATCTTTATGAGTATGACTACTATGATTTATGTTTTCCTCTCTCTCTCTCTCTCTCTATCTATATGGAGTAGAACCCTCTCTCACTTGGATATAAGAACCCTAGTTCCATGTGTTAGGGATCTTGATTGTAACGACTTGGGATTGTTATACTGATTGATTTTAATCGATTGATGCATGATTCATTGAGTCAATTGAAGTCTGGTAATCTTTTCTTGATTTCTGCTGCAACCTGAGATAGATAGAATCTGATTAGGTTGTTAGAGCTTCATCAATCGGTAGTGGTAGATTGATTATATGAGAGTTAATCGATTTACTGCTTTGTACTGGAATCCAATTCCAGTAGTGGAGTTCTGTGTTCATAGCCTCAGCTTTCTATCCCGGTGAAGACTAGTCGTCTGCTGGGTAGTTGGACTGAGAGAACTTGGTCAGCTTAAGAGATTCCAAGCTACTGTCGGATCTTCCGCAGTTTAATCAACAGTTAATTAAACCAGGGTAATTACAACTGTGACCTAACTAAGGAGCTAGGGGGACTCACAATCACTCGACTTAGTTTGCTAGATAATAAATAATCATGGAGTAGGAAGTAGATCTAGGCCCCGGGTTGACAAATAGAGCTTGCCACTTACTGCATTTCCAGACTGTGATTGCACTTGGTCGCAGTTTGGTGTTGTGTTTTAGCATGACGGTGATGCATTCATGGTGGGGATTGATTGAGTCTTTATGTTTTGTCTCCAGAGAGTCTGAGATTGATTGAGTCTTTATGTTTTGTCGGGGACATTCTCACTAAGACTCCCCCCCCCCCCCCCCCCGAGACGAACCAGATGATCAGTAATTTGGTCTCCAGAGATCATTCTTGGGGGTAGATCACCAGAGGTAGGAACTCTTGAGACAGAGGTGTACATGTCATAGAGGCTAGATCAATACTTGAGCGAGTGGTGGCAGAGCTGGTTCAAACGTTGAAGCTGTCCAACAGGCTCATACTAGGCAGAGGCATGGCAACACCTCCAGTAGCCCAGTGCTAGTGGTGCTAGAGCTCAAATCATCTGGTGGAGGATTGTCAAGCAATGTGGGAGTCTACCCCCCCCCCCCCAGGAGTAGTTGGACTTCATCGCCAATGCTCGGAGCCTCCATCCTTACAACGTTACATATAATGAGGGATGACGCCAACAGGCATGGCAGCACCTCCAGTAGCAGTACCACCAAGCCTCCCGGTTTCACAGCACTAGCTGGTGGTTTTCAGCAGAGGCAGTAGTACCAGACTCGACAAGGTCCATTTCCACAGCAGTAGTCGTTTCAGCCCAGACAGGGGCAAACCTTCCAGCACAGCAGAGGCCATTCCCACATTTGCCACCAGCCCCTGCACAGGGTGACCATATGTCGGAGATGAAAATATGGTGACGACTTTCGTGAGGACCAACATAGAGAAGTTCTCCAGGATGGACCAGTTGATGTATTTCTCTATGGGGAAATTCAATTCACTGGAGGCAGGCCAGAGAAACCAGAGTGCTATTCTGCAGGACCTCCAGAACCAGATTGGAGGAATAGCTCAAAACAACAGCACCGGGGCACCAGGAACTCTACCTTCCAACTTTGCACGGGCAAATCGCACTGGCCGTGTATTGGACCCCTTGTGGCCGTGTGGAAAGTCCAGGGAGCTCACACGGCCAGACTGGAAATCCACAAGGTTGTGTGCCTCTGGCCGTGCAGCATGCCTAAAGACCACTTAAGTGAAACGCGGCGTTTCCATTCTCAAACGGGAAAACTGGGAATCCACATGGCCGTGTGTCCTGGCCGTGTGGTTGGGAAATTCTGGGTTTTAACCCAATTTCGAGCCAAAGGAGAGAAAATTGAGTTTTTGAGCAAAAAAACAGAGCCCTAGAGAGAAAAAGTGCGAAGAACACATCCTAGAGGTGACTTTGGAGCTGGGTTTCATCAATCGAGCTTGGAGATCATCATAGGAGTGAAGATCATTATCCCATAGCAGATTTTCCTCATCTTTATGAGTATGACTACTATGATTTATGTTTTCCTCTCTCTCTCTCTCTCTCTCTCTCTCTCTATCTATATGGAGTAGAACCCTCTCTCACTTGGATATAAGAACCCTAGTTCCATGTGTTAGGGATCTTGATTGTAACGACTTGGGATTGTTATACTGATTGATTTTAATCGATTGATGCATGATTCATTGAGTCAATTGAAGTCTGGTAATCTTTTCTTGATTTCTGCTGCAACCTGAGATAGATAGAATCTGATTAGGTTGTTAGAGCTTCATCAATCGGTAGTGGTAGATTGATTATATGAGAGTTAATCGATTTACTGCTTTGTACTGGAATCCAATTCCAGTAGTGGAGTTCTGTGTTCATAGCCTCAGCTTTCTATCCCGGTGAAGACTAGTCGTCTGCTGGGTAGTTGGACTGAGAGAACTTGGTCAGCTTAAGAGATTCCAAGCTACTGTCGGATCTTCCGCAGTTTAATCAACAGTTAATTAAACCAGGGTAATTACAACTGTGACCTAACTAAGGAGCTAGGGGGACTCACAATCACTCGACTTAGTTTGCTAGATAATAAATAATCATGGAGTAGGAAGTAGATCTAGGCCCCGGGTTGACAAATAGAGCTTGCCACTTACTGCATTTCCAGACTGTGATTGCACTTGGTCGCAGTTTGGTGTTGTGTTTTAGCATGACGGTGATGCATTCATGGTGGGGATTGATTGAGTCTTTATGTTTTGTCTCCAGAGAGTCTGAGATTGATTGAGTCTTTATGTTTTGTCGGGGACATTCTCACTAAGACTCCCCCCCCCCCCCCCGAGACGAACCAGATGATCAGTAATTTGGTCTCCAGAGATCATTCTTGGGGGTAGATCACCAGAGGTAGGAACTCTTGAGACAGAGGTGTACATGTCATAGAGGCTAGATCAATACTTGAGCGAGTGGTGGCAGAGCTGGTTCAAACGTTGAAGCTGTCCAACAGGCTCATACTAGGCAGAGGCATGGCAACACCTCCAGTAGCCCAGTGCTAGTGGTGCTAGAGCTCAAATCATCTGGTGGAGGATTGTCAAGCAATGTGGGAGTCTACCCCCCCCCCCCCCCCCAGGAGTAGTTGGACTTCATCGCCAATGCTCGGAGCCTCCATCCTTACAACGTTACATATAATGAGGGATGACACCAACAGGCATGGCAGCACCTCCAGTAGCAGTACCACCAAGCCTCCCGGTTTCACAGCACTAGCTGGTGGTTTTCAGCAGAGGCAGTAGTACCAGACTCGACAAGGTCCATTTCCACAGCAGTAGTCGTTTCAGCCCAGACAGGGGCAAACCTTCCAGCACAGCAGAGGCCATTCCCACATTTGCCACCAGCCCCTGCACAGGGTGACCATATGTCGGAGATGAAAATATGGTGACGACTTTCGTGAGGACCAACATAGAGAAGTTCTCCAGGATGGACCAGTTGATGTATTTCTCTATGGGGAAATTCAATTCACTGGAGGCAGGCCAGAGAAACCAGAGTGCTATTCTGCAGGACCTCCAGAACCAGATTGGAGGAATAGCTCAAAACAACAGCACCGGGGCACCAGGAACTCTACCTTCCAACACCATCCCAAATCCTCGCGAGCCGCACCAGCAGTTGGATGTCGTCACAACTAGAAGTGGCAAGACGATGTCTATTATACCTGCCCTGTCCAGGCAAGAGGAACCAACACCTGCTCTAGCACTTCCAGCTGAAGATGAAGAGGTGGGGATAGAGAATGAAGCACCTGCTCCCAAGCCACAACCAGTGGTTAAGGATCATGTTCCCCAGCTTCCCTTCCCCACTCGTATGCACAAGGACAAGCTGGAGACTAAGTTTGCCAAATTCATGGCAATGTTGAAGCAGGTCAACATCAACATGCCGTTCGTTGAGGCACTGTCGAAGATGCCCAAGTATACAAAATTCACGAAGGATCTCCTCACCAACAAGAAGAAACTTGAGGATCTATCGATAGTGATGCTAAATGAGGAGTGTTCTTCCATCCTGCAGAACAAGCTGCCCGAGAAGCGAAAAGACCTAGGGAGTTTTACTATCCCTCTTGGCATTAGCAGCATGCATGTAGGAAATCCTTGGAGGAACTAGGCGCTAGCATTAACATCATGCCCTATAAACTATTTAAGAAGCTAGGCTTAGGTGAACCTAGAACTACTAGGATGAGCGTTAGCTTGCTGAGCGCTCGATTGTGCATCCTAGGAGGTATCATTGAGGACTTGCTTGTTAATGTTGGTGCATTTACATAGCCTATTGATTTTGTTATTTTGGATATCAATGAGGATGTGGATGTGCCTTTGATACTGGGTAGACCATTTCTCGCCACCGTCAAGGCATTAATTGATGTGCATAGTTGCAAGTAGATTTTGAGGGCTGGGGATGACCAAACTACAATTTCGGTGTCTGATAATGCAAAACATTCCCACCTACATGATGACTTGGACTATTATGATATTGTGGTTGATTTTGATAAATTAAACAAGTAGTGATGTATATATGTTATCATAAATTACTTGGTCTACTTTTTCGGTGATAATTACGAGTGAGGGGAATGACGATGTTCTTGAGCGTTGCATTTTCCTAGGCGAGCAGGCATCACATGAGCTGCAGCTGGAGGAGCAGTTGGCAGCCCCAGAACGTGGCGAGTTCCTGGAGGTTGGGAAGCCGTTCAAGACGCTTTCTGCATCGACTCATATTCCCACCTCTTTGGAGGCACCACCCGAACTGGAGCTGAAGCCCCTCCCTCCTCATTTGGAGTATGCCTTTCTCCGGGAGGGGAATAAGCTATCAATCATCATCATACTGGTGGCGCTTATGAAGAAGTACGAGCGAGCTCTTGTCTGGAAGATCACTTATATCTGGGGGATCAGTCCCTATTTCTATTCCCGCCGATCCTGATGGAGGACGAGATTCGCCCGGTGCGTCAACCCCAGAGGAGGATGACGCCGAATCTAGAGGTTGTGGTCAGAAAAGAGATCGTCCAGTTGATGGACGCCGGTATCATCTTCGCCATATATGACAGTGAGTGGGTCAGTCCTACTCAAGTGGTGCCTAAGAAGGGCAGGATGACTGTAGTCTGGAATGTGAAGAATGAACTCATACTGATAGACCGTTAATTGCACATGTTTTTACCCCTAGTCTTGAGCCGTTTGAGATGTTGATTCTCGTGTTTTAGGTCGATTTCACGCTAGGTTGTGCTTGTTTGTGATATTTCAGGTACTAGTACGTGAATGAAATTTTAGGAACGAGTTCGGGGTCGATTGAACGGAGATTGGACGTTAGGCGAGAAGATGAGAAGTCACACGGGCATGCCTAAAACCCACACGGCCGTGTAGGGGAACCCATGTGGCCGTGTGGAAATTCTAGGGAACTCACACGGGCATCCTGGAAATCCACACGGTGTGGTTGTGGCCGTGTAGGATGGCTGGAAGTCACTTAATGGAAACTCGGCGTTTTGACACTCACAAGGGCAGCTGGGAAAGCCACACGGCCGTGTGGCCTGCCCGTGTGGTCGGGAATTTTTGGGTTTTTACCCCGATTCAAGCCAAAGGAGAGGGAATCGACTTTTCAAGCAAAAACAGAGCCCTAGAGAGAGAAAGTGCAAAGAACACCTCCTAAGAGTGGTTTTGGAGCTGGGTTTCATCAATCAAGCTTGGAAATCATCCTTGGAGTGAAGACTGACATCCCAAAGGAGATTTTCCTCATCTTTATGAGTATGACTACTGTGATTTCTTTTATCCTCTCTCTCTCTCTCTCTCTCTCTATGGAGTAGAACCCTCTCTCACTTGGGTATGAAGAACCCTAGTTCCATGTGTTAGGGATCTTGATTGTAATGACTTGGGATTGTTATACTGTTTGGTTTTAATCGAATGATGCATGATTCATTGAATCAATTGAAGTCTGATCATCTTTTCTTGATTTCTGTTGCAACCTGAGATAGATAGAATATGATTAGGTTGTTAGAGCTTCATCATTCGGTAGTGGTAGATTGGTTATACGAGAGTTAATCAACCTACTGCTTTGTACTAGAATCCAATTCCAGTAGTGGAGTTCTGTGTTCATAGCCTTAGTTTTCTATCTCGGTGAAGACTAGTCGTCTACCGGGTAGTTGGACTAAGAGGGCTTGGTCAGCTTAAGAGATTCCAAGCTACTGTCAGATCTTCTGCAGTTTAATCAAAAGTAAATCAACCCAGGGTAATTACAACTGTGACCTAACTAAGGAGCTAGGGGGACTCATTCCCGAGTGACTCTTCCTTTGCTTTAGAAAATCGAATCAATTCCTGCTTTCTTACTGCTTTTAGTTAAAACCACAATCAATCGACTTAGTTGGCTAGATAATAGATATTCACGGAGTAGGCAATAGATCTAGACGCCGGGTTGATAATTAGAACTTGTCACTATACTGCATTTCCAGACTGCGATTACACTTGGTCGCAGTTTGGTGTTTTGTCGTAGCGTGTCAAGTTTTTTGCGCCGTTGCCGGGGACTTTCTAGGTTATTGGAGAAACATGAAAGTTTGTTACTCTAGCCTTTTCTTTACTGCATTTTCTCTCTTCCACCTGTGTGCCTTCACAGGTTGCCTTTGCTGATTGTGTGCAGGTAGTGCATGACCCGTAGCCAGTCGGGAGATTTACTACCATTAGACCAGGAGCTTGAACGGACCTGCAGGAACTTCAAGCGGGCTCTAATGGCGCGACTGGCTGTGGAGGAGGCACTAGCACAGCTGCAAATTGCCGACGAAGAAGAGATGGGTGATCCAAATGACCATGATGTGGTCCTTCCTGAGGAGCAAACCATGGGATACTACTGGACCGCCAGGGCCGCAGACATGAGGTCTCCCATTCAACACCCCTCATGTGC